CTACTACGACTACTACGACTACTACTACTACTACTACTACGACTACTAGTACTACTACTACTACTACTACTACTACTACTACTACGACTACTACTACTACTACTACTACTACTACTACTACTACTACTACTACTACTACTACTACTACTACTACTACTACTACTACTACTACTACTACTACTACTACTACTACTACTACTACTACTACTACTACTACTACTACTACTACTACTACTACTACTACGGCTACTACTACTACGATCCAGTAAAAGACGCGCGAGATACCAACCGCAATAGCTCACGCGTGAATCTGCTCATGTAAGGTGTCAAGTGCAACGTCAGGCTGCAACAAACAAGTATGATAACACTCCAATGTGTTTTCTTCATGGGCTACCTCCTCGGTTGTGATCTGACCGTGCCTGGTGCTTTGGACGGTTGTGATCTGACCCGTCTGGTTGTGATCTCACGCGACCGGTTGTGATCTGAACCCATCGCTGGGTGTGCATGGGCGGGAGGGGAGGAGGGACACAAGCAAGTTCAAAGAGATTGCAAGACGATTCGCCACTTGGGCCCACCGCCAGCCCAAACAACCAGCACACTATCTGGGTTGTCTTGCAAGAGCGCGCGCGCCACCCGTGCAGTGCACCCTGGATGCACCAGCTATGGGGTGAGGTTGCGTCACATGTGGGTTGCGCCATTGGCTGCGCCATGGGTTGGGCAATCGGATGGATCCGTCACAGGTGGTGCTATCCATTGGTTGCGCAGGTTGCGCCATGGGTTTCTGCCATCCGTTGGGTGCGCCTAGGTTGCGTACTCGGGTCAAAGAAATGGAACAGCCTTCTTTTTGTTACGCCATTGGTTGCGCACTCTGCGGCGACATCCTCGTATTGGTTGCGCCGTGGGTTGCACACTCCCGAAAAAAAAGAAGAAGATCCTGCTGTTGGCTGCGCAATTAATGGCACCCTCGGCAGCTGAAGATAGAGCAGCCTGCTACCCGGCGCGACCAGTCAGTCAATCGGTCAGCCAATCATTCGTTGGTCTGCCAACCAAAAATCCGTCAACATGACGGCCCACCATACCGCCGTCTCTCCCGCCCCCCATCCATCCCTACCTCCATCCGTGTCGGCCCCCCTCTCAAATTCCCGTTCGCTCTCCTTGTCCCTCTCCACCCCCCCTTTCCCATAACCGTTTCTTTTTATTCACTCTCCTCCTCCTCCTCCTCCTCTTCTTCCTCCTCCTCCTCTTGCTTATCCTGTTCCTTCTCCCCGTCACTCTTCATCATCCTCCTCTGCCACCTCCTCCTCCTCTTCCACCTCTTTTCTGTTTGCGCAATTCCTCCTCGTCACACCACTGGACGCATCGGCGCGGTGGGCTGGGCGTTCTTCGTGAGACTTTCTCATGATGTCTGCTCCTGAAGCTTCAAAATTCCAACATCTGAGCAACTAGAGGGTGGGCCGTTTTCAGTGTGGCTCTGGCCTTCGCGCCGCACACAGACGTCTTCAGCATCTCCCAGATCGCAGAGCGGGTCCGTTCCAAAATGTGACTCTCGCCTGATTGTCGCACACAGACTCCTTCCACAACACACCAGCTACATGAAGCGGAGCGCATGCCATTTTTCAATGCCTGATGTCGCCATTCCTCCGCTCACAATCGTGTTCAGATGTATCAAGTACTACGAGATGGAGGGCGGATCGCTTTCACTATACAGTGTAGCTATCGCCTGAACGCCGCGCATAATGTTCAAATGCTTTCAGCAACTACATGCACGGATGGACTACATTTTTTGTCAAACCGGGGCTAGCGCTGGAGACTTCGTCAACTTGAATGGCCCGGCATTCAAAAGTTCGAAACGAGTGCACACATGAAGGGCGGTGTCTTTCCATTAGCAGGCGTTCGCTTGAGACTTCGTCGGGCTCTCTGACCCGCAGTTCTGGAATCTGCGAAGAGGCGTCATGATCACTTATCTTGGCCCTTGTAAGTTTTGGAAAGCGGGTCAATTTCACAGCGGGACTGTCGCCTGAACTTGAAGCCCATGCGGCCCTGTTCTTTCAAGGGGGCGCTCCCCGCAGTAAGAATGAATGTAGGGACCTCTGAGGGGTGTATTTGGGACTGGAAGCTGTATTTTAACATCGTGGCTGCATCATGGCCTTGCTCTGGTCCTGCTCCTCCTCCTCCTCCTCCTCCTCCTCCTCCTTCCCCGCCCCCTCCCGCCCTTCAGGGTGGCGTCCTGCGACAAGACCTGTTCACGGTGTTCCAAATCTTAAACTTGTACTCGTCGTTCATCGTCAAGACCTGCTGAGGGCAAGAGCCAGAAGAGAGGGCCTACGCCGCCGAAAGAGCCAGGATGGTCGTCAGCGCGTCGCCGCGCCGGCCGCCGGGCTGCGCGCTCCCTGGTGGTCCGCGTCCCCGCTCCTCCCCGTCATCCGACCCGTTCCCTGCCCATTTCCCCCCTCTCCCACTCCCCCATCCTGCTCCCCGCGCCGTCTCCATCCCTTGTGAAAGCTGGCCATCCCTAGCGAGGCGCCCTCGATGCCGAATCGAGCCAGTACTTGTCATATGACGGAACATGGATGGGTGCGACACCGATGTGTGTGAGATGCTCGCTAGGCTTGAGCCTTCAGCTGATGCAACTGTAATTGATGCATGAACCACTGGACAGCCCTGACCGCTGACCAGTAGCATCCGCCTGGGGGCCAGAATGAAGCGTCTAAACCGTGGACTTATGAGTATCACATTTTCTCTGAAGCTTTTGAGCTGGACATCCGAGCGGATACGCAAAAACAGGCAACGCTCTTCAAGATGCTCAAAAAGCTGTAAGGCTGGGTCTGGGCAAATGCTGAACGAACTTGCTGTTCAAGTGATGTCTCCACAGATTTGGCTCCCCGGACAGAGCGACAGCAAGCCTGATCCCCTGAATACAGCCAGGAGGCGGAATATAGCAGCAGTTGGTTGCCAAAGCGCGCAAGAAGAAACACCCTAGTGCAAATCGGGAAATTGAACCTCTGACCTCGCCATCGAGAAACAAACGTAAATCTACACGCTTCTTCTGAGGAGGCGAAAGATGGCAATGCCGGGACAACAACGTCTGACTGTAAATCTGGAGGTGCTGCAGCAGCTAATGGGACGGCACGTGCACAGGCGAAGACCTGACTACACCTAGGGGTTCCTGACATGCTGTGCCTAGAGAGCCCCTGACGAACTAATAACACACGTCCCGCGCAGGGATTGACTGAACGTTGTTGGTATGTTGAACAAACCTTTACATCAAATTGCGGAGCGTGGGGATTTCGTAACCACCCAAGTGACACGACTGTTGATGATACCCATATGGTCACAGCGCGAATTGGTCAACGATGCTGAAGAAAGCTCAAACGAATTCGTCCTACAGAAATCTCAATGCGACCCGCTATCTCGTGCACATGAGCCGGCTGGCCAGGAACCAAGAGACACTTGATCTTGCTGTGCGCCCGCAGAATACTGAAGCGACGTACTAGACGACCTTGTCGAAAACAAAGCCATCCTTGTCCGCGTATCCCAGTCCCACCACGACCACGATTAAACATCGCAGTCATTGTTCCCCATCCGACAGGTAGGGGTCGAAATATGATATGAAAAGAAACACGCCTCCCGACCAACCTACCCTGCATACCGCGGCTGCCCGATCCCCAAGTCCTCCGAGAATCCCCGATTCTCCTGCCCCTCCCTACCCGACCCACCCACTCTCCATACCGCGGCCGCCACATCCTCAGATCCGCCGAGAATCCTTGAGTCCCGCCCCTGAGCGCATGACAGAACAAACGTAACAGCACAAAGCAACGTACAGCATCGCATGAGAGAACACGCCATACCAACTGAACATATATGGCAAAACATAATAAAACATAGCACGGCATCACATGACCAGGTATATCGCGGCATCGAACATCCTACTATGACAGAGCGGAAGCTATAGACCATAGCATACCATCAGACTGCGTCACTAAACATAGGAGATCATTACATGCCATGACAGAACATGCCACTCCATATAATACCAGGCCATATCGTGACGGATCAGAGCGCCACATAACAACGCATAACATCCCATGCCAAATCCTGCCATAATAGAACGCGACAACATATAGTGCACGAAACCGTCACACACCATATAACATATTCCGTAGTACAGCATGGCAGAACACATCATATCTTCCCACCACAACGAAAATAACATGCCATCGCAAAACAGTACATCCCATACCGAGCATACTTTGCTTTATCAGAACATATCCGAATAATGCATACCTCACTTGCTGTGCGATTGCTGCCACGACGACAGATAATGTCACGGAACACAGTCGATTCATATGTACATAAAGACACGTATATATGTATATTTTTATATGTATATATCAACACGAAAGCCATGCCATAGCATGACATCACATACTACAATGAACTGGGGAAACACAACCGCCATGACATACCATAATTGTTGTACGACTGCTGCCACTACGGCAACAAGTATGGAAAACATCACACACGACACCATCACTGAGGCGACCCATCACGATATGAAGAGAACGTAGCATCACAAACTGGCACGGGTATATCGTAAACAGCATGACATAATTTACTACATCCGAATATTACAACATCGCATTACAAGTAATATGATGCCATGTGTGCACATAGCATGATACTCTATAACATCAACTGTAACCACCACACACGAAACAACCACATCATACCATTATGGGCCGTACCTGGATATTCGCCACCGCGCTTGCAGTGGTTGGTGTGCGTCGGGCGAAGCAGTAGTTCGTCCCCCTGGACGCATCGAGCCCAAGATGCGTTCACGTTTGTGGCCAATGTAATGCCTTTCGTTGGCTCCCAAGCAACGCCAATTGCGACCGACTCTGGCAGCCCCGGCTCGGCCGGTGGCACGCAGCTCGTGGAGGCGGCGGAACCCGTAGCGACCGATGCGCCTTTGGAGGAGCCCGACAGGCAGTCGCTTGATGCGGCCCTGGGAGTTGGATGGCGTCGTTGACGTGCTCCCGGCGGAGGCTCCCGAACAAGAGACGGCGCCGGCGGAGGCAACTCCCCCTGGCGACCCCGATGAGGGGCCGCGGCGGCCGCCGCCTCGCCCTCGTGCTGCTGCCGCCCGCGGGCGCGGCAGGGTGCCTCGACGGGGGGCTGGGCGGTCTGCTCGTCAGCGTCGCTGGTGGCGGCGTCGAGGGTGGCGGCGACGCGGCAACTGGCGCTGCGGGCCCTGCGGCAGACCGCTCACGGGCGGGCGCGGCGGCGGGTGCCACCTTTAGCCGGGCTGCCGCCGACGCGGGCGGTGGGCGCCTGGGCAACGCCGCCGTCAACCGCGACGCCCCCTACGACGTCGACGACGTTCCTGCCACTCATGGCCGAGGCGCCCTGGTGCCCGAGAAGCGCGCAGCCGCGCCCGCCGAGGGGGCCAGCACCGCCGTGTCCCGCGGTATCCGCACGCCGCTGCGCCACAAGTCAGCGACCTGGACGCCCAAAGCGCGCAACGATCCCCGAGTCGCCGAGCACTGCCAGCCCCTGGAGCGTCGCCACGACGGTCCCCATGTCACTCAAAGGCCTGGACGCGGTGATGCATTACGCCGCCTCCCTGGAGGTGGCGCCGGAGGCCACCGCCATCGTCCATCGTCGCCAAGGAGGCCGCGGGGCGTGGATAAAGGAGGACGAGGAGGAGGAGGAGGAGGAGGAGGAGGAGGAGGAGGAGGAGGAGGAGGATCGAGGAAGGGGTAAGAATCCAGTCTCGAGGAGGAGGAGGAGGAGGAGGAGGATCGAGGAGGGGATAGGGATGGAGGATCGACTGCCTGTGCGGTCCCTCTCGCACGCCTGCCGGCGCCAGCCCGTATTCCCTCGTTGCCAGAAGTCAGCATCGACCTTGCCGCTGTTGGGGGCGTCCTCGGGCGGATCTTCCTGGCGATTCCCGAAGCCAGCTCCGACAGCAGCGATGAGGAGGACCCCGAGCGGGGGTGGGGGCGCCTCGGCGACTGGCTCAGTCTGGGCGGGGGGAAGATTTGCGGGGCAAATTTCTGGCGGCGGTAATTTCTGGTGAGAGTTTGGGGAATGCTATCGTAAGCTATCCAAGCTCAGCCCCCTCCGAGCTTGGACGGATAGAAATACAACAGAATTCCCACCACAAGAAATCCCAGATGGGGTCACATTCTTTGTTTTATGAATTTCCCATACATTGCTGTTTGGGGAGGCCCGTGCAAGGACGAGTTTGGATGGCGAATTGTCAATAGCATGATGGCCGCGAACCGAACCGAGAACCGAGAACCGGGTCTGGAACCGAACCGGCCGAACCGAACTGGCCGGCCAAACCGAACCGGCCGAACCGAACCGGCCCGCTGTGCGAACCGAACCGGCCGAACCGAACCGGCGGAAACCGAACCGGCCGAACCGAACCGGCCAACCAGGCGGAACCGAACCGGCCGAACCGGACCGGACCGGCGGAACCGAACCGTCCGAACCGGAGTCAGGACCCCAGGACCCGCTCGAACCTTAAAATACCTCAGGACCCAGGACCTGAACCCAGGACCCCAGGACCTCAAAAGACCCCGGGACCTGAATCCAGGATCCTCTTGGACTTCCCAGGACCCCAGGACCCGGGACCCCAGGACCCCCAGGACCCATGAAGACACCCATGAAGACGAGCACCTGGCTGGCGGGCGCGCGCGGGGCGACGACGACGACGGCGGAGGAAGGCGACGACGACGGCGGAGGAAGGCGACGACGACGGCGGCGGAGGAAGGCGCCGACGACGACCCCCTGGGTCCGGACCCCCCCGGTCCGGACCCCCCCCGGTCCGGACCCCCTGGGTCCGGACCCACTGGGTCCGGACCCCCGGGGGTCCGGACCCTCCCCGGTCCGGACCCTCCGCCAGGATCTCGTCGGCGTGAAAACGCCGCAGATGCCGCAGCATGGAGCCCGTGGAGCTCTCCTGCCACACGCACCCGTCATATTCCATTGACGGCATGAAGCCTGAGTCCATGAGAGTTTTCACATTGAGCACAACAGGTTGTTCGTCCGGCCAGCAGATCTTGCAGAACCGATAGTTGCTGGACAGAGGACGTTTTTCGTGGAAGAACTGGTGCGCCCCTCGCGCCGAACGCATCGCAGCCAAGGCGCAGGAAGGGGAGCTCTCACAGAAGCCAGGAAGCCGGGGACTACTGCCGACACAGCTTCGACGACAGCGGCTCTCGAACCAAAATGGCTACGGAACTTTCAGCCGTGGAGGTCCAGACCCAGACCTCGGACGCCAGGCTTCAACCTTGAACGCCTGGGGGGGGCGAACCTGGCTGACCGCTGGAAGGCGGGCCCCTTTGGCGGCCCCCCCGCGCGAGGGCAGGGGGCCGCCTCCGGGGTACCCGGGTCCCGAGGGACCACCCCAGCAGCAGTCAACCGCACGTCCCCCCGACCCAAGAGAGCCCCAAGAGGAGCCCACAGTCCGGACCCCCTGGGTCCGGACCCCCTGGGTCCGGACCCCCTGGGTCCGGACCCCCTGGGTCCGGACCCCCCTGGGTCCGGACCCCCCCGGTCCGGACCCCCTGGGTCCGGACCCCCTGGGTCCGGACCCCCTGGGTCCGGACCCCCCCGCCCCTGGTCCGGACCCCCCCCCCCGTCCGTCGTCACCCCCCCGTCCGTCGTCGTGGTCCCCCGTCCGTCGTCGTCGTGGTGCTCGTGGTCGTGGTCGTGGTCGTGGTCGCGGTCGCGGTCGCGGTCGCGGTCGCGCGGTTACCTTCGCGCCCTCGCGAGGCCTCCTTGGAGACATGCAATTCTGCGGCCCAGGCCGCGACGCGCGAAGCGCGATTATCTTCTTGCGTTTTCTTCATCGTTTGAGACACCGGTAGTTGGCCTTCGAGAAGCTCCTCGTCGCCACGGCTGGACGCAGCTCGGAAAACTGGTGCGTCTGGACCCCGGGAGGGGTCCGAAGACCGAGTTTGAGCAGATTTGGAGTTCCAGTGTCTCAACTCGCCCTTCTCCGATCTTGCCGGGCGCTTTTGGTGGCGGGTGTGCAAGCGCCGAGAGCTCTGCCAGCAGTCTAGGCCGCCGGTCTGCAGAGACAGCCTCAACGAGAGAAGGAGGAGGAGGAGGAGGAGGAGGAGAGGAGGAGGAGGAGGAGGAGGAGGAGGACGAGGAGGAGGAGGCGGAGGAGGAGGAGGTGCAGCGGCGGCCAGCGGCGGCCAGCGGCCAGCGGCGGCCAGCGGCCAGCGGCGGCCAGCGGCGGCACCTCGGCCGTTGCAGCGGCCCCGCTGGGGCAGCGCGCGAGACGCCGAACGGGCCGGCCTCGTCCTCGTCCTCGTCCTCGTCCTCGTCCTCGTCCTCGTCCTCGTCCTCGTCCTCCTCGTCCTCCTCCTCATCCTCCTTCTTCTCCTCCTCCTCCTCCTCCTCCTCTTCCTCCTCCTCCTCCTCCCTCGCCCCCACTGTCCCCATCCCCGTCGGGGCTGCCGATCGGGACGGCCTGGAATCGAAGCGAATCGAAATCGGGCTGACTGAAATCGCCTCTGCATGGATGCGAAACCGGCCGAACCAACCGAACCGAACCGGCCGAACCGGACCGGTCGGAACACATAAAACCGAACCGGTAGAACCGAACCGGCCGAACCGAACCGGTCGAACCGAACCGGTCTACGACAAAGAACCGAACCG